ATGGTAATATATATATATATATATATATCCAACATTAATTATTAAAATAACTGCCTCTAATTAAACAAATTAAAAAATAAAATATAACCAAATTAGTCAAATTAATATTACACATAATTAAATTAGTAAATAAATCAAATCAATGTATGGGTTAAAAAATTATACAATGTCAGTTAGAATATATCTTAATTTACTAATAAGTTTCCTCAATCCATCAGCAAATAAGTCAAGATCGTCGTACTGAGCAAGTATGTCACCAATCAATCGTAGTGCGCGGACAGTGGGCGCGTGCTCACCGCGCCTGGTGCGCGCGACAGGACGCGCTAGCAAACGAGGCCGGCGGCGCGAGGCTAGCTGCAGCCACAGAGTAAAAAGTAAGGTCCAGAGGTGAAGCTTCCTAACAACGTCGAAAATCTATACCTATTCTGATAGGGTTATCATCTAATGCATGTGAAAATTTTAAGAAAAAAAAAATTAAATAGTATAAAACAACATGTGTATTCATTGTAACGTCAATATAATAACATGTCTGTTATTTGTAATTAAAATTGAAACTGCAAAATTTTATATTTTGCTTATTTTCATGCTTAGCTTCACATTACATAATATGTTTATATTTCTATCAATATGATTTTCGTAAGACAACGTATTCATGAGTTCAAAAAATCAGGTGGTAGCAGTAATGACTGTGATGATGGTAGTGGGCAGTGGCGGTGGTTGTGGTGTTGATACACCACCACCACCAATGTCACTACCAGGATGATGGTGGCGGTAGTAAGGGCTGTAGTGGTGATGCTGGTCGTGGTGGTGGTGCCAGTGGTGGTCCACTGTCCATCACCACCACCAATGATACTACCAGCTCCACCACAATCACTGACACCATTACCAGCACGATCAGCAGCACCATCCACCGCCACCAACACCACACGTTCAGCACCACCGTCCACATCACCATCACCAGCACTACTACCACTAACACTAACTGCACCACTGTCTGGCTATTGTATTATTTTCCTCGAATTTACATACATACTGTACAACTTAGGCATTTAGCTTATACGAATACTAATTATCTAATATAAATATATATAAATCTATAATGTCTTATTTTATAGTAAAAAATCTCTAAACTTAACTCTAATTGTAAAAAAAAATGTAAATTTATTGATCTGTAAAATCACGCAATATTATTCGTCTATTTATTTCAATGCGCCTGACTAACAGCCCTTTCATTCACACTCCGACTGAGCCGGCGCAAACCGGTTTCTACCCCGACGGAGCGTCGGTGAACCTGTCGGTGAGAGCTCACGCACACATCGCTGCCCTATGTATGGGTGTACCCGCAGCGAGCCGTTTGTATGTAGCTTCTCCTCTGGTCGGTTTCTTTACTCATGTGCTGCAGCCCTGACTTCTGCCGTATATTACGGGGAACTAAGATGCGTACAGTCTCTAGTATCTGCGGACTATCGATCTTGTGATACAGTATAGAGAGATAGTGTTCCAGCATAAGCATAACCCTCATAAATTTCAATGTTTCCATATCAACCATGCCGGATACGAACAAAGAAGGATACAGGTGAGGATAGTACACGTATCGCTTCTTAAAGCACCATCTGGCAAACTTACGCTGTATCTTCTCGACCATAAGAACATACTTATCCTCAAATGGGTCCCAGACAACAGCACCATACTCCAGCTTGCTACGAACAAATGCGTTAAATAATATTTTAGCAACTACTACATTGTCAAATTGTGTTCCAGTCCTAATAACAAAACCTAACATTCTATGTGCGTTCTTACAGATACTTGTCACATGTAGATGAAAGTCTAATTTAGAATCTAATAACAGCCCTAGGTCTCGAATGCCATTTACTCTTTCCAGAGGCCCGTCATGTAGGCTATACAAATTTACAATTGGTCTAGGTTTCCGAGTGAAAGTAATTATTTTGCATTTATTATTATTTAAAGGCAATAGATTTTCTTGACTCCAATTCAACACCGCGTCAATGTCTCTTTGTAGATTTATGGTATCTGATTCAGATTCAATACTCAGACTGAGTTTTAAGTCATCTGCAAAGAGAAGGCATTCAGAAAAACAAACGATGTTTGGCAGATCATTTATAAAGAGCAGGAAGAGTGTTGGACCCAAAGTACTGCCCTGACTTACCCCTGACCTCGTGAAGTAATCACTGGAGTTATAGCCATCTACCCGTACATATTGACATCTACTATTCAGATAGGATGCGAAAAACTGAATGAGTTTGGGGATAAAGCCAATAAATGCCAACTTTTCTAACAATTTGTCATTGTCGACGAGGTCAAAGGCCTTTTTGAAATCGAAGTATGCAGTGTCCACTTGTTTGTAATTATCCATCTCCTTATATATGTAGTCAACATGTGCAATTAAGTTCGTAGTAGTAGAACGCGCCTTACGGAAACCATGCTGGCTATTGTGTAACAAATGGCCTACCTGATTATTAATGTGTTTGGTGAGAATGGACTCAAATATTTTGGCAAACACTGATAAAACAGCAATTGGTCTAAATGCTGACACATCCATACTCCCATCCCCTTTCGGAACGGGGGTAACCCTGGAACGTTTCCAAATTAGAGGGTACTTAGCATTAGTTAGTGATAGGTTAAAGAGATGCAAAAGAGGCCGCTCCAGTACCGCTATACAATCTTTAACCACGAAACTAGGAATACCATCAGGCCCACTAGATGAGCGCGGTTTGAGACGTTTCACAGCCTCCTTCAAATCCTTCCCATTGACCGCGTTTATAGATACGGACGTAATGTCCTGGTTAAAATGTGCAGCTTGAGCAGCCTTATTACGATCCAAAAAAGGTATGTTCGGATGAAACACACAGCTGAAAAATTCTGCAAAGGCGTCAGCAGCAGCCTGCCCTTCCACCTCAGTATCCTTATAAATATAAGTATCCGCACGTCTTCTGCCACCAGATTTTTTGTCTTTAACGTAATCCCAAAATTTAACTGGGTCGTTAATAATATTCCGTTGTACTGTTTTTAAATATTGCATATACTCCCTGACAATCAGTTTTTTTACCTGCTCCCTATAATACTTAAACATTTGCCGATTGAACTCTTTACCTTTCTTTTTATACTTCTTAAGATGATAGTGTTTATTTTTAATGTTATTTATAATTTCAGCTGTATACCACTTAGGATATACATATCGGTGATTATTGGTAGTGCATAAAGAAACAGGTACAAAGAGATTTACACAATTGTACAGTTTCTCGTAGTACAACTGAACAGCACAGTCAATATCAATCTCTTTAACTAAATCCGACCAATCTAATTTGGATAAAGCCGCATAGAGACCTTGATAATCTGCTTTACGCCAGTTCCAGCTGTTGCTTTGAGTATTGGAAAGAGATGACGTTGGCGAAGCAGGAGAAGAAATCAATGTTGGACAAACGAATGGAAGCTTGATTATAGCTTCAAGCGCGGGATGATAGTCATCATTTTCTACCCCCGGCTAGCATGGGGTGGGGACAAAAATTTTATCCCCCGATTATATCCACTGACAAGAGATAAAATTATCTTGTCCATAAGCCAAAGCACGGCAATGAGGGAAAGGAGAAGTATATCCCCGTTTGACATAACGAGTAGACATATATTCCCCGTCCGTAGCATGGGGCCAAATGAAGGATAAAAAATTATGCTTTTTTGACATTTGAAAGGGACAATTTTATCCTTGTTCATTGGACGTGGGTTTAAGTTTATTTGTAGTTGTATTTAAGTTTATTGATACTAAAAAGATGTATCGGCTTAGCTTTCCATTGACTCCTATTGAGTTGGCGGTTGATACGTATTTTTACAGAAAAGTTACACTATTATAAGCACACAGACAAAGTTACAATATGTGGAAGCGCGTAATTTTTGAGAAAAAAGTTATTGAAAATCAATTATTCTTGCATTGTTTATATCTAATTCTACCATAAAATAGACGCCATTTTGTAATGTCATTGTCGTCAGTAGGGATGTCGATTCTTTCCGAAAAAGGTCGATTTTTAAAATCGATTCAAATCGTAAGCTGATGTATCGATTCATAAAAAATCGATTTCCAAAATATCTATTTTTTTATGTTTGCATTTATAATGTAAATATAATTCCATTTTATGAAAAACAAGAAAGATACCGTAATAAATGATCTCTTATTGAAATTTGTTTTATTTTAACAGTACCAATTAGGGCAGATAACAAATAAAATAGGTTAGGTTCAACTTATGTCAAAGAACCGAATTGATTGACCCCGACTCCACCTGGTACGAGTCTGTCCTACCCCCTAGAGTGGTTTTATAGAGCCGGAGCAGTCTCAAAATAGATACAGAAATCCTTCTGAATCAGTCCCCTTATTTTTTATGATGAAGGGGATTTTTTCTCATAAAATGGATTTATATTTAAATTATAAATGCAAACATGAAAAAAATATCGATATTTTAGAAACCGATTTTTTGGGAATCGATACATCAGCTTACAATTCGAATCTATTTAAAAAATCGATCTTTTTCGGAAAGAATCGACATCCCTACTGACAATAACAATAAAAAAATGGCGTCAGTTTTATTGTAGGATTAGACATAAACAATGCAAGAATAATTGATTTTCAATAACTTTTTCTCAAAAATTACGCACTTCCGCATATTGTAACTTTGTGTGTGTGCTTATAATAGTGTAACTTTTCTGTAAAAATACGTATCAACCTCCAACTCGATGGGAGTCAATGGAAAGTCGTACCTATAAAAGTAAGCATCTATTACAATCACCTTGTGGAAACATATTGTATATTTACAATCAATCTTATAAGCGTTTTGGATGTGTCATCTGTTAGCTTGTAAGATGAAATGAAATAAATAAATAAATCAATACATGTGGCTAAATTCTAGATACTCTGTTTCTTTTTCTAGGTACTCACATCTATCAGACACTTGGCAGACGGTAGTTACCAGAGAGGTACGGGTTAAGACCATGGAATGGCTGTTGCTCAAACAACAGTTAGCAAATACCTGGCTCAAGTTACTGGAGCTATCGTTAGAATGTAAGCGACTATATACTCTAATTAGCCTCTTTTGTAGGTAAATAGAATAGGTTCAGTGCATATACTTACTTACTTCCATTTTAATTTTAGACTAATGCCAAAATGGATATCGTTTCCGGAAGTAGAACGAGCAAGGAAAAATGTAGCCACAGGATTCCTTGCAAAGCATGGTTTGCCAGATATTCTTGGAGCTATTGACTGCACCCATGTTGATATATTTCCCCCACCATTCCCGACTGGGGTTCAGTACAAAAACAGAAAAGGGCGGACTACAATAAATGTTCAACTGGTAAGGATAAACAAATTCTAGTTTTTCACAAACCTTCTTTTTTAAATAAAGAATATTAGTGTTATATTCATGACTAATATTTCCCAGAAAAAAGTACAACAATAGTCTTATTATTGTCTTTGTCGTCCCGGTTTTAGATCCTGCAACCTTTCGGATTGCAGAAACCCATTAACCATTGCACTATTAAGACTAACTAAATGTTACAGGTTGTGGATGTTGAGTGCCGCATCATTAACATCAATGCACAATATCCAGGGCGAGTCCACGATCAGTTTATCTTTAACAACTCAAAAGTTAAATTGGAAATGAAACGTCTGTATGAAAGTAGAATTGGTCAATACTATCTTTTAGGTATAATGTATTAAATTAAATTTTCAAACTTATAAAGTTACAATTCAAAATTTTGAATTAAGAAATATTATGTTATCTAATTCTTTAGCAAATCTTGTTACCATCTAAAGGCTAATCTGCATAATATTAGGAATAAAAAAAACACAAGACATTATCATATAATTGTTTATTCTGTTTTATTACATTATTAATTTTTTCCATTATTAATACTTTGTTTTTTTTTCTTTATTTTTCATGTTCAATTGTTCTTAAAATTTAAATCTTTGTGAAAATCTGAAAAGACAATAACAAGCATTAATTGACACCTATATTATAATACAACATTAAAAGAAACAAATATTTTACAGGGGACTCGGGCTATGCCTTAGAACCTTGGCTGATGACTCCAGATTTGGAAGCTGCACCAAATAGTTCAGCAGAAAAATATAACAAATGACATTGCCAAGTGAGAAACTGTGTGGAAAGAACAAATGGGTATCTCAAAGGCACATTCCGGAGCCTAGGCAATGACAGGGTACTCCACTACAGTCCAGAGAAGGCTTCACAATTAATATATGCTTGTGCAACACTATACAATATCATGCTACTTTATAGGTGTGTTATTATATCATCACACAGATAATTATTATTAGAATGTTTGTTTATTTTTGATAAACATTATTAATTTAATTTGTATATTGCAGAATTCCAATGGAACAACCAATGGACAACTTAGATGCAACAAGTGAAGAGAGTAATCCTCTCATCACATCTGTGGATCAAACAATGCTGTTGACAATTGCCCGACAAAAAAGACAAAGATTAATAAATACATACTTCAACTAAAATTTATTTGTATGATTACCTTTTCATTCTTTTGAGTTTATTCTGTGTACAAAGCAATTGATTTTGTTCACATAATAGGTTGTTGCGCTCTTTGAGCCTTTCATCTATACTCTGAAAGATAAGGTCTAATTTATATTGACTGTAGCAATACAATATTAAATATTAATCTGGAAGGGAATTATAGCATTCATGCAATTAGTAATGAAATAAAAAACAATTGTTACTTGTAAATATGCGTCATTTTCTTGTTGGAGGCAAATGAATGCATCATGCAATCGCTCCTTCTTATTTTGGACTGTGGGATAGCTAGTGGAAGGGGCTGGATGGCTTGTGGAAGGGGCTGGATGGCTTGTGGAAGGGGCTGGATGGCTGGTGGAATATTTTCAAACTCGTCTGCAAAGTAGGTGGGTACTGGTAGTGTTAGTAAATTTAATTGTGTATCCACCTGCTCCACCACCAACACTTCATTGATTTCCTGCTATAAAATTAGAAACATAAGCTTCACATGCTTTCAAAGACAAAGTTACACAAGACAATATATTGTAACTAAATAAGTACACACATTTGCCTGGCCTATTGAAGACTCTTCAGGCCCAATACCAGTAGAAGACTCAAACCCAATTATGTTTAACACTTTTGTGTTCACTGCGGACACAGTCGATACTATTAATGAATTTCCCGTAGTACTGTGTCCACGAGCTGCCGCTGCATTTTCTGTACGCGCACCCCTTTTTTAAATCTTTCCAAGTCTGCAAATAAAAGAATATTTAAATACCTACTACTTTCTCGCCGTCAAAATTAGTGTATATAATTTTAATTTTGTGTACATATATACAATATAGAATTTACCATGAAAATGTAATATGTTACGTACTAACCTGCTTCCACTGATCAATTGTTCTGTCTGGCCAATACTCTTTTAGCATTTCCTTGAGTATTTGCCACTGGGAGTCTGCCCTTTTAGCTCCTAAGGGCCCTATGAACAGAACAGTGGCAAGGTGGTTGTGAGCCGACATAAAGTCGACCAACATATTAATTTGTTTTGTTACTTCTTGATCTGAATGAAAAAAAAAGAATTGTTAAATAATTAGCGATAAATATAGACGAACAGGTTATAAAATAGTATCAATTATTTGTAAACAGAAAGATTTGTAAAGAAAATTAAATTACATTTCGCTTTCTTAAAACAATAGTTACTTGACAACATTTTATGTGATAGTATACTTACTTTTTGGCGTTCATTTTAATATATTTACCTCTCCGTTTTAATTTTATTTTACGAAAGCGAAAATTGCGCTATAATTCTTATTATAGGTAAGTTTGTGATTTTGTGAACTTTTGTGCATAGATAAATATATATGTAGCAAGCTACTTTTGTGTCGAAATCACGAGCACAGATATAAATAATTATTTTGTGACTTAGAGTAAACATCAATTTTGAAGTATTTTTTAGTTTTCTTATAATGGCAATAATTGCGGGGATAAGTCTTATCTCCATTTTATCTACCGTGGATATTATATCCACCGGTGTGCCCATGCTCGAAGGGTGGATAAAACTAAGCGAGGGGATAAATATTTTGTCCTTTCCCCGGGGATAAATTGTCTCCTGCTATGCTAGCTAGGCAGAGGGTCTAAATTTAGAGAAACACTTAACTGACCGGGCTCTAAATTGCTCAGCACGAGATCCAACATACCGCCTCGTCTATTTAATACTGTATTAAATTGGTGGAGCGAACAAAATTTACTAAAAAAATCAAATTGGGTCTTTACATTAACGCTGCAAGAATTCAAATTGAAATCACCTAAAATTAATACTTTCATATCAGTGTAGGTAAAAATAATATCTTCCATACAGGCCAAAACATTTAAATATTGATCATCAGTATAGTTCGGAGGTAAGTATACAAGGCAACATAATATTTTGCTATTTTGAAAATTAATAATTACAGAAATTAATTCTTTGTCATTAGTCATAAGATCAATGTCAGTAACAACCCGAACAGGATAACAGTCTCGAACAGCAAGCAGTACCCCCCCCCCCCACCCAGTATCGTTCGCTCTGTCTTTACGTATTACCCTGTAACCAGGAGGGAATATTTCGCTATCAAATACTGAACTAGTTAAAAAGGTCTCAGTCAACGCTATGATGTCATATTCGCTATGTGTAACATTGTTCATAAATATACTTGTTTTTGATCTTAGACCTCGAACATTTTGATAAAATATCCTTAACTCACGCACTTTAAGACGTCGCTTGTTGGCTGTTGATTTTGGCACGAAAGTTTTGACGCCAAGGCTTAATACATATGCCTTCGGCCCAGTTGCCAGATGACATAACAGTTTCAGCACTTTCAAGGGGAACTCCTAGTTTAAAGGAAGCATAGCGCCCACGAGACCCCAGCTTCTCAACGGTACACATGTCACTGTGACATATAGTACAGAGGTGATTCCGCACTTGCTCCACAGTGGTATCTTCTTGAACATAGTACAAATGCAGGTATTTCCTAGTGGCAGCCTGAAGTGGTGTCGATCCAGGTGCTGCGGTACCTCTAAGTACGCCAGGAATATTATTGCGCAGTATTATTACTTGTATTGACATTTAGCTTTCGTATTCTTTGCGAAGGAATACACCATAAAATTGTATACTTATTTATGAAAAGTTATGTTCTTGTCTTTAATTTTTTTCCAAGAGTAATTTTTACATGATTTCATAGCACAAACAGTCATTTTGCGTAATTAAAAACATCGGTGCGTGACATACGTTCGCAGTGAACGTCGCTGGCGTAATGGTGGAACGAACGAACGAATACACCAGTATTGGCGCCTGTGAAATGGAAGCGTTTTAGGCGCGCGTACACGGTATCTGGACCTATAAAATATCTTTGGTAAGATGATTATTCAGAATTCAGCTGATTTCACTCCGTCTACAGCAGCTATATTCATATCGTAGTTTTTCAGACGCCAGCGCTATTGTGGTAGGTTTAGGAACCTCTATTTTCAGTATATAGTGGGACACTTTTTCAACTTTCGTCCCTTTTAAGATGGTTCTCCTTGTACTCTACACTCCATAGCATGAACACATTGTGAAGAACCTAGAGTATATATATTAAGCACGCTATAGAGCGCAAGAAAAAGAAAAGAAAGACGAGTATGTAGAGAAACTGAAAGAAAGTTTTAAAGGGATAGAAGAGATAGGAGTGATTGAAGATTTGTGGGAGACATTTAAGAAAGCGGTCGTAAATGTTGCTATTGAGATATGCGGGGTAGCTAAAAGAAGGAAAGGAAGAAAAAATGATAACGTGTGGATGGATAAAGATGTACAAAGGGTTGTGCAAGAAAAGAAGAAAGCGTGGTTGGATTGGTTAGCAACAAAAGCTAACCAAAAAGTTCAAAAGGCAACGGATGACGAGATAAAGGAAGCAAGAACGAAGTATAAAAGATTGAAAACAGCAGCGAAAGAAATAGTGTCTAGAAAGAAAGAAGAACGAAAGGATGATTTCGATAGGAGGCTCACTGAAGATTTCCAGTCAAACATTAAGTTTTTCTGGAAAACCATCAAAACAGCCAGAGGAAAAACTTCTACCTCGGAGCTGAGTACAATCAGGAGTCAAGATGGGAGCATTATAAAAGGAGAAGAATGTGTGTTAAATAGATGGAAAGAGTATTTTGAAAGTTTGTTTGAAAGAGAGGAAGTGCAGGTACAGCATCTGCCACCTTCCACGGAAACTAATTTAAATGTTGATGAAAATGAGATAAGCATGGATGAAATAGTGAAAGCGTTGAAAAGTATGACACTAAGTAAGGCTGCAGGGTATGACAGGATTACCGTCGAGATGCTGAGGGCTGGACAGGGCCTGGTGGCTAGTCAGCTGTACCACCTTTTCAATCTGTGCTGGCGAAATGGGCAAGTACCGGGAGACTGGTGCAAAGCCGTAATCGTGTCATGGCAGGACTGCATAAATTACCGCGGTATAAGCCTTCTCAGCGTCGTCGGTAAATTGTATGCGAAAGTGTTGATTGAAAGGGTTGTGAATGAAACAGACGAGAAAGTATGGGATGCGCAAGCGGGATTTAGAAAGGGAATGGGATGTACGGATCAGGTCTTTTCCTTGCGGTGCATAGTCGAAAAGTGTTTGGCTAAAAACAAGAAAGTCTACTGCGCGTTCGTAGATCTACAAAAGGCCTATGATAGAGTGGTGAGGAATGAATTGTGGTCAGCACTCTCCGTGAACGGTGTGAGCAGTATCCTCATACGATCATTGCAATATCTTCATAGGGATTCTAGTGCTTGTGTAAGGATAAACGGGGCATACACTGAATGGTTTAATATCGAAAAAGGTGTTAGACAGGTATGTGTACCGTCACCGTGGCTGTTTAATCTGTTCATGGACAATGGTTTGACAGATTTAAAAGAGAATGAAAGTGGGTTGAGAATGAATGAGTTACTCGTCAAATGTTTTCTCTATGCTGATGACCAAGTATTACTTGCGTCTTCGGCCGAGGAGTTGCAGGAGATAGTAACTGCTATGAGTGGAGCTTTTGTTAGAAAGGGAATGAAGATGAATGTAAGGAAGACGAAAGTGATGGTGTTTGAAAAAGATGAGGCAGTAACAGACTGCAATATTGTGATTGAAGATGAACAAATTGAACAGGTGAAAGAGTTTGTGTATCTGGGTTCAAAGTTTACAAGAGATGGAACCTGTGAGAGTGATATCGAAAGAAGAGTGAATGCAGGAAACATGGTGAATGGAGCTTTGCACTCCTTTATGAGCAGTCGGAAGGTCTCTAACAAGGCTCGTTTGGCTATGCATGAGGGAGTGTTGGTTCCGACACTCATGTATGGAAGTGAAAGATGGGTATGGCAGAAGAAACATGAAAGCAGAATAAATGCAGTTGAGATGAGAGCATTAAGAATTATGATAGGAGTTAAACTGAGTGACAGGATAAGAAATAGTGAGATAAGGAATCGTTGTGGTCTGAAAGAAGATGTAGTGACAAAAATTGAGAAAGGTATGCTGAGGTGGTTTGGCCATGTCGAGAGAATGAATGAAGAACGATTGACGAAAAAAGTGTATAAGGCGAGTGTGAATGAAAGTGTTGGAAGGGGTAGACCTAGGCGGATATTTCTAGACCAAATCAGGGACGTCTTGAAAAAAGGCCAGGTCAGGAGTACCCTAAACCTTAGAGCATGTATGTAGGGAATAATGAAAGTGGACGAAGCAAAACAAGTATGTAAGGATCGTAGCAAGTGGAAAGAAGTGGTCTCTGCCTACCCCTACGGGATAGAGGCGTGATTATATGTATGTATGTATAGAGCGCGCGTTAGCGTGTATGAATAGTAAGCATGGCAGTATAAAAAGTAGCTTCGGCAGTTATTACAAAACTAATAGATGTCATTCAAAAATATTTTGAAATTAGAATTAAATATCTTGTACGTAAAACTGCGATCAAGCAAACAAAATGACAATAAGTAATAATAAGTTTACCCTTTTTAAGAGACAGTAAAATAATCATGTTTTGGTGTTAAATGAATAAACATCGTTTTATGAATTCGTACCTGTGTTTTATTGACCTACTAAAACCAACCTTGTAATTACTCACCTACCCAATATTTACAAAATACTTACCTAATTAAACTAATAAAAAACCTTAAATTTTATTTGAAACTGGCAAAAGTACAACTTATTTAAGAACGAAAAGACCAATTTATTTAGTAGGTACTTATTTTCCCAATATTAAAAGCGCAAAGTCAATACATTAGTATAACTACATTAGTATGACTACAAAATAAGTATTGTGTACCTATGTATTGGGAAAGATGGTCGATCCCACTGGCTTCTACAAGTACGCCGGACTGGCTGTATAACGTGACATAATGAGGCGTTTTGATTTTCGCCATTTTGGCGCTGACAACAGAAGTGAGCGTCCACGGAACTAATAATAGAAATAGGACTGTGTGACAAAACCATGAAGCAAATACAAAGAGGAGACGTTGTAATTAAATTTCACTATGTAACAACGCGTGACAATTTGCGGGGTGAGGGGATGCAAAGCCCCGCCCACTACACTATCTACATCTACCGATAACTAGTAAAACTACTCGAATCTTTCCATATCGATGTTGCAATGTAGCTTAGCTACCTTGACGGTAGATGGCGGCATGTCCACAAAATATTATAAACTTTAAAAATAACACTTTGTCGATTAAAATTTCTTTATGTCTGAATGCAAAGAAATTTCAGCACCTTCGTATGATTATTTTATCATTACTGAGCTCTACGTACCTTTATATTTTTAGTTCACAGGACACAAAGTGTCGCCATCTAGTGTGGAATATATTTAATTATATTTGAAAGCCGACGCAAAGAGATTTTTCTAGAACTATTTTAATAAATCAGGTGTAAAATTACTTACAAATGAAATGTGATGCCATCCATAGCATCGGAGCGTCTATCTCATGAAGCAAATACATTCAGACAAAGAAATTTTAATCGCCAAAATAATATTTTCATAGTTATCATAATAATCTTGGGAACAGGCCGCCATCTATCGTCAAGTAAACCTCATAAAAAATAACAAATAGACAGGGCCGCAATTAGAATTCAATTATTTTACCCAGTAACCCAACATTCAATATTAAAATGAAGGAAATTGTACTTGGCTGATTTTTACGAAATGTTTACGTTATATTTAAGTGACATTCTATATGCAAAGAATCACTTAAATACAATTTAAATATGTTTATCATTTAGTGAAAGTCAACCAAGAAATATTTATTTTATCCATAAAATAAAGTCCCTTTGAAACTAAATATTTTATGTTCAATATTAAGTAGGATATTTAATTTGGAACTAAATATCCTACTTATGTCACTAATATTATAAAGGCGAAATTTTGTGTGCTCTTTCTGTCTCCTTGAGCTTATTCCACACTAAGTATGTGTAATTTTTTCACGCAGAAACGGCTGGATTATTATTTATGTGTGGGTTATACTACTTAATATCTCTGAGGGAGAACAAATAATAGACAAATTATTATAATTAATATAATTTTATTTACAAATATTACAAAGAACATTAAATTGTATTTAAGTGATTCTTTGCATATAGAATGGCACTTAAATATAACTTAAACATTTCGTAAAAATCAGCCTAAGTACAATTTCCTGCATTTAATATTAAAAGTTGGATTACTGGGAAAAATAATTGAATTCTAATTAGGGCCCTGTCTTTTTGTCATTTTTATGAGGTTTACTTGACGAGAATACGGCCTGTTCTCAAAATGATTATAAACTATAAAAATGATATTTTGCGATTAAAATTTCTTTGTCTGAATGCAAAACAAATTTCAGCACCTTCGTATGATTATTTTACCAATACTGAGCTCTACCTTTACATTTTTAGTTCACATGACACAAAGTGTCGCCATCTAGTGGCGAATATATTTAATTATATTTGAAAGCAGACGCAAAGAGATTTTTCTAAAACTATTTTAATAAATTAGGTGTAAAATTATTTACAAATGAAATGTGATGCCATCCATAACATCAGAGCGTCTATCTGAGTAGTTTTTACACAATAAAACACAACACTTAATCCTTTTCTTCTTAATACTACGAAAATACACCGATTTGCGATTTTTTCAACACATAAGCGCACAGGACGAATGCTGACAGTATACTAACTAAAGCCACGCCCACTATGATGACGTCAGGACCTACTTAGAATCACAGTGCACAGTAGCTTATGCCGTCTCCCCTTTGTATTAGCTTCATGGACAAAACACATCCATAAAAATTCTATACCTACAATTCTATTTATGTATCATTTCACCATTGGGTATGTCTGGTTAATTCGAGAGTTTAAAGGTCCAATGAGTAGGAAAAACTGAAGCAGGTAATTACAAAATAAAAAAATACAATTTGTCAAGAATTTATTTTTAACCGTTCATTAAGTACTCATAATAGAAAAAATGAATAAGCTGCCAAAATATTGTTCCTATTTCAACAATATTTATAGGTAGGTACAATTATGAGTTTATTAAGTGTAGTTTAGTTAGTTTTACTTTTTACTACTCTCACGCGTGAGTGTTTCTCGTTAGTGTTAGTTTGTGACTACTCTTTACTTAAAGTTAGTCTGTGGCTTAGTGTTGCAGTTTTATACCTCATTTTTTCAAAAATTTAATTTAAACTTTCGATACATTTAATTGATAATTTTGGATTTAATTGTTACAGTTTAAAACTGCATGATAAATAATGATTTTTTTATTTTATAATTTGTTTTAATTGAATATTATAGGACAGATAATTAATACGCTCTACCTATTATACATGGCTGGTTGTTGTACATTCATTTGTTAAATATGGAGGTGTGATGGAGGTGCAATTGTCGAAATACTGTGATTTTCAAGTTAGCAGTTTTCCCAATTTTCCAGTGAGTTGAATCATTTTAGTTTGTGCATAGTTTTCTCTGTCATTTTTTAGGTAATATACATATCTTAATTTAGTTAAAGAGCCTTCGTTATCTCTAATATTTGAGGGAGAGACTCGCGGACCGAAAGTACTCTTATAGGCAATACCCGATTAAAACCATGCTTGATTCGTACAATATTTTACCATACAATATTTAGTTACTTTTTTAAATGTTTAGGTATTTTAAGTTTTAAATATTAATATTTTTTTGCCCATTTATGAACCAAGTAGCTTTAAAGAACAGTATGTAATCTTTCTTCATTCACATACATTCGATGTATTTGATACGCACTACCTAAATGTGCACATGTAACTTTTTTATTTAAATGTTTCAAATTAAAGTTAAACTGTATGCTGAAAATATGATTAACTTTTTCTATGACATGAATTTCAAAGGAACATTAATTCTGTTACATCATGATGTACATAATTTAAGTTAGATGGGTACTTTAGTATTGCGAATTTTTGATTTTAATATAAATAAATTGGTCTATTACATGCAGAATGGCTGGTAATAGAATAAATACAAAGACAAAAGGGAAGGATGAAAAATCAAAAGTAAATAAGGGTACTAATCAGGCTCAAGAAGAATCAGAGGACTTAGATTATACTCTACTCAGAAAGCCTATACTGACAAGTATAACAGGGTTTGCTCAGGCAAGAAAGATATTTGATGTAGCTACTGAAGAGGTAAGTTTTATACCAGCTTACTAACATATTTATTCCAAAATCATACATTATGTATAATTTTTTGTTACAGCTCAAAAATCTTCTATCCACTGAGTGTGATCTATTATATGAATGTAAAGTATGCCGAAATTTGTTTAGAAGCTTAGCTAATTTTATATCTCATAAACGTATATACTGTAGGGAAAAGTTTAACTCATCCATACATAGTCACTTTATAAAACCACCATCTACTGTAAGTACATTTACTGAACAGTGAACTTTAAATTTACTTTTTTCCAAATTGTTTGATTTTATGCTTTTGTCGTTTTAGGAAAATGAAATATGTAAAATAAAACGATTGGAAGAGGAATATCAAGAATCGTTAAAAGAAAAGGATAGTTCTGTGTGTGTTGATACAGAAGTCTCTGATGATCGTATACCACTTACAAAAGATTTAACAGCCATTATTGAAAAAATTGCTAGGAATAGAGGAATTAAAGATGGAGCAAAAGAAGATTGTGAAATATTGTTACAGGATATTCCAAAGACTTCTGTTGCTGTGTTTCAAAATGTAAATTACAATAAAGATACAAATTGTGATATCCGTTCTCAAGTATGTTTATTAAATACTAAAAATGTTTGTGAATGAGTAGTTTATTTTACTTATTTACATTTAGATTACTTAAATCAATTACTAAAAAAATGAAATATAAATATGTATTGTAAAACACTTATGTGGATGTATATCTTTATAATATATTTAGATTTGCTTAGTTTTTATTTTTTGTCTGATTATACAGTATATGTTATGTACAAATAATATAGTTCCATTTTTTAAATTTTAAGGCACACTATGTTGAAAATTTATTAAAAACAAGAAAGGTACAAATTACAAAATATATTTTAAATCTTAAATGTTGCTAATATTAGTTACTACAGTAATTTCTAAATTAATAATTGGATTATTGTGCTCTTCAATAAGTTATTAGTTATTTATTTGGCAAAAAAAGTAACTGTATGCATAGGGATTCATTTCTCAAAAAATGATTATATATATATCTTATATGTGTGTGTTGCTTAATATCTAAAATATCTCACTGATTTATACAACAAATTGACAGACAGAAGGGGCCATAAAATATGTCACCCTAAATTTGGTCTTTGGATTTATGACCTGACCTAAGGATGTTTCTTAACCGCCGTGCACATGGTAAATCAGCACTTAAATTTGCATTTAACAATTTCATTGGAGTCGGCGGGTATCGAACCCGGGTTGTTCGCGTAGTATGTAATTTCCGGCGAGTGTTTAGCGCCTGGGCTGCCATAGCTCTTATTACTTTGATAATATAAATTATAAAATGTTTCCTGAGCCCCTCTGCCCCCTTGTCAAATATCGTCACGCTAGGCAATACCTCCCCCTACCTGTTTGCAAATGTATTTTACCTAATATCCCCTAACAGTTCTGGCGGTAAGCATTGCCGCAATGGACACGTGCAACTAACTTATAACAAAGATTTGTTGTAAATCCGAAGGAAATATGGAATGTCTTACTGAAATCTTGTATGGTTATATTCCTATACTTTTGTGATAAGGTGGTGGTAGAGCTATTTTTCCTGCCTTAGAGATCATTATGTATGCATTAAAATACTGATATGTAATATAAATGTTACTTATATTTATTTCAGGTAAAAGAATTAGATAGTATACTATCACAGAATAATGCTATTCTACAAAGTGATGGCAGGTTCAAGATACTAAACTCAATAGGGCTAAACAAATCTACCTCAGAACAAGATAATGTCATCCAAATTAGTGATGATGATGAAAATGATGACAACAATGACCTTAAATGTAAAATATGTAAGTAGAAAATATGTTTACGTTAATTTGAATTTCTGTTGTAGAATTGAATTAAAAAATAATTTTCTATGAGTACACACTTCTCACAGAATATATATATTTTTTGGTTTTTCGTTGTAATAACTGAAAAATGCAACCTCAAAAGATTTGCCCTGACTCTCCACACTGAGAAGGCAGATTGATAAGACTATAGGCTATACCCTTGTACTGACAATACTGCTTCTTATCTCATTTGTGGGATTTGGGTTCCAGCACTTGTATACCATTTGTCAGTCGCTGTGAGTCTTATTCTTTAATTTTCAATCTGACAAGGCCACTCTTATCGGAGACTAGGCGTCTGCGCAGGAAGAATTATAGTGCATGTGCACTATTGTGTGTGCAAACACAGGTGAATTCTCTATTTCGTCACTCACATAGTCCATTGGAACGACAATGCGAAACAACTGGAGAGAGATCAGGCGCGCTACCAACGACTTTACATGCTTGTCGTCGCACCTTGGTGAAACACTGCCAAGTTTTTGACTTTGACCTGCTACCGAGAATTTATTGACAGAAAAATTCGATATCAAAGTTTTGGCGCCACCCGGGATCGTACCCAAGACCTCATGATCAGCAGTTGCTCTTACGACCACCAGATGCAGCCAATTATTAATAATCAAAATACAAGTACATAATATACAAAATATACAAAAAAGCTATATTATAGCTTTTTATTTTTAATAAATATTTTTTTATTTTATAATTAATAATTTTATGAATAATATGCTTATGATTAAATTTAACTAATAGGTAAAAAATGTGTTAAGGAAATGCAAATACTGTGAGTACTTATATAAATGGAAGGTTTTCTGTGAATAGCAGGGCCTATAGAAACTTTAATCACCATCACTGCTGAAACTTTCATAAAAGTACAAATTTACTTACCAGAGGTAATAAAAAAACTAAAGATACTACTAATAGTTTTTGATACTCTGTGGCCTGCGCTGTTGCATTGCGATAGAAATATGCGAATGGGGTGATACGATTTTCTTTTACAATTATCTATTTAATCTCCCTTTTTTTTTCATATTTTTCATCGAGAGGTCAACAACAAAAGCTAAACGCTTCCTCTATGTGGTTCTACCGTGTAGTTTCGGTGTAGGTATATAAACTATCTCATATCGTTCCGTGGATTTCGTACGCGCGGCAGAGAGAAACAAACCAGAAAATAAGCAGCAGCATCTTCCTAATAACTAAAAATAAATAAATGCGTTTGCCAACCCGCCTGCCAAGCGTGGTAACTCTGGTAAAAATCCCCCGGAAAATATAGCAAATATAAATAAAATGATGGAGTTTTGCAGTTGTTCGCGCGTCACGGAAAAACTACTGGATATATTTCAATTAGGTTTTCTAAGTTTTATTTCTTAGATATTGACGGAGCCGTGGCGCAGTGGCTTAGCAATGAGTTATTGCGCTGGGGGCCGCGGGTTCGAATCCCGCACGGAACAAACATTTGTATGGCCTACAATTAATTGTTTCGGGTCTGAATGTTTGTCCTCGTGCAATCTATGTTTGTAAACTGCCTCCACGATACAGGAGAAAATCCTAGTGAGGGGGTAACGTTACTAAAAAAAAACTAAGAAATTTGGCCCGTATCGAAAAAAAAATATTGCGATATCTTCATTTAATATAAAGTTATTAAAGTTTTAAGAAACAACGATTTTATAAGCACCACGTGTTCAGTGATTTTGTTTTCTTGATATTATATCAAGCAACGCGGACGAAGTCGCGGGTATCAGCTAGTAGCAAATATGAGGTAACTTACGGGGGAGGTCTAAGTTCAGTAGTGGAATTTGGATAGGCTGTAATGGTATGTAGTTCCAGTCTCTAGTTTTATTTTCTTAGTTCTTAGGGTAATAAACCCTACAAACTAGGTGGTCTCTAGTCTTCAAGGAAAAAATTAATAGGGTTAGTTTCTTTAATTTATAATAAAATTGTTCAAGTACAGTACTACACACGTCAGTGTTGTTATTTCAAGTGCCCTCCTCCCCCTTCTTCTCACAAACCTTTTCTTTTTCATGATTGTCGTGATACTTTTTTCATAGGTGAAGGCAGCAATTTTTATTTATTAAAAATAAAAGTTAATTAAAATAATGAATGATTTCATTTTTAAATTACTTATCAATTTAAAGTTTTACAACACTCCAAGACCTAAATTTCTTTTCAACTTCCCTTTTTACTCTAAAACTAATTTAAGGAGTTTGTTAAAATTCGAATTTATATACCTCATATTTGGATAACCGCAATACACAAATGTGCTAAATTTCAATAATCTATGTGTAACACTATCAGAGAAAATCTCAGTGACAGACAGAGTAACACACACCGAGGTAATTTTATAATTAATCCGTGTTGCCGAATTCGGCATAGAATACTAAATAAAAAAACCATAATGAGAACGCAGGCAGAGTGTGCACTGAACGATAAGTGACGACAAATTGAATAAATCCGGCAAAGTGCGAGTCGAATTCGCGCATGAAGGGTTCCGTCATCCGACCGACCATCGTAAAACACGTTTCTAGTAGGGAAACCCCCTTTAATTTTTAATTTGTTTTTATTATTTGTTGTTATAGCGGTAACAGAAATATATATTCTGTGAAAATTTCAACTGTCTACCTATTACGGATCATGAAATACAGCCCGCTAACAGACAGATGGACTGACGGCCGGACGAACAGCGGAGGCTTAGTAATAGGGTCCTGTTTGTTACCCTTCGGGTGCGGAACCCCAAAAAGGTCACGCTCGCCGATACTACAGTGCAGTTGCTTAGAATAACATTTTGTATAGGTATTATGCTCTATGGTCGAGAAATTTTTGTTTAATCAAATATACCTAATTTTTTTTGCAGGTGACCTTCAATTTTCGACAACAAAAACTTTGAGATTTCACATGAAATACAAACACTTAGAAAGCCGTTTAGTTTACCCGTGCCCTGATTGCTTGGAAATATTCTCTACATCATGGAGTGTTTACAGACACCTCTTTAAAGTTCATAGGTAATATTAAATACTGCTTAAATTTTTGCTTGAATTTTTAACTTCTATTCATAATATGCAATTATTCTTGGCAACTAAGACAAAATCCCTCCTATGAGACAGTAAATGGGGGAGGTCTATATTCAATAGTGGACTTAGGACGGATGTATGGTTGGCTTCGCAACATTAATCGTATTACGCTGCTACGGTAATTTTAACGAATAATGGTGGTTGGTCTTGAAATTCCAAACAGATGGTTGTTACACCATCTTGTCATAGCATTAATTATTATTAAATGTTACTAACAAGACGCGCGCGTTCGTACGCACGTACGCAAGCATGCACAGACAAACACACACATACACACGCACGCACAAACGTGCGCAACAGTTCAATATTTTTTGTCACAAAATACGTAATTATGGCTTATGTATAAGAAATAGACATATGGTATCGCGGACTTTTTTTAGATGGAGCAAAGATCTATATTTTTCTAGAACATTGTATTTACGTAGCGCGTTTAAACAAACAAAAAAACAAAAAACTCTTCCGCTTTATTATATTAATATAGATATAAAATATCCAGACCAACAACGAGACACTGCGGCTAAGAAATTATCGGCAGTATACAGCAGTGGACTGTTACAAACTGTAATGATGATGATGATAATCTTTATGCCTTTTAACTTATATATAATCGTAAATGCGTACATATACACACAATATATTTGTTTGGTCGAGACGATGATTCATAGCTATGCTAGAATGCGATAGATAGTGCCGTAGTCATTTTTTAATTTATATACCAAAATGACTCATATGTAAGCACAATAAATTATATTGGCTTAATGCCGAAAAAATAATATTTACTAAAATGTCCGTGTAGTGGCGGTATAAGAACATACACTACCCTATCCCGTGGGTGTATTAAGAGGCGACAGAGGGAAGCAAACAAGGAGATGGACAGCAACGTGTACTTAATAACAACTATAAAAATAAAAATAAATCTGATGTTGCCAACCAGCTTGCCACACGGGAACACTATGGCAAATATTACACGTGGTAGAGCCATGCTGCAGCTATATTATTAGTATAGTTGTAGTACGAATGGGTTGGCTTGACCGGGGAGGACCACGTTCTCACAGAATACCAGCGTAAAAAGGCAGCTTAAAGCTCCTATGTTACGTATGGTGGTGTAGAGAACAGGAGACTCTTTGTACTGGAAACGAGGCATTCTATTTTAGTCATCACGGGTGACAACGTATCTGCATTTTGATTCGCAATCGAGGATATATGTAGATATCTATGGGCCTCTGCAACCACTTACAATTAGGTGGAGTGTATGCTCGTTTGCCACCCTATCCTGTAAAAAAATCCTATACCTATGAGGCAATTTATGGGGGAGGAATGTGTTCAGCAGTTGACTTTAACAGGCGCTAACGGTATCGGTTAAAAACGTCGGAAGTTAATTCGTATTGACACTAAACGCGCCTCCTATCGAAATGGACTGAACAACTAGGGATGCCACATAGCTGCAGCATGGCTCTACCACGTAAAAAACTTTCTACTTTCCATTAATTGAATTTTTCTTTTAAAAGTTTATACACTAGGAAACTAAACTAGTTTCCTAGTGTAAAAACTTTTGTTAGTGTAAACTTAGTGTAAAAAGTTTTGGCCCTTGTAAATACGACAAAGGACCACTCAAAAGTATGAATAAAATGCTTTACAAAGTTAATTTTGATTTTTTATTTCAGGAAAACTGCAGCCCAAATTAGAAGATTAAGAGAGTCTATACAAGCAAAAGCATTTAGAATGAATAACCCACCTGCTTTCTATGAAAAACGCAAAAATAATGTAAAACCAGTAACACCACCAAAGATCTCCGAAGAAGAAAGATTGGATCAAGAAAACCAGGTAATGAATGTAGGCAAAAATCTACAAGCAATGTTAATTATAAGTCATAAATATAATATCTAAATATCTTAATTATGAGTAAGTGTTGAGTACTAATTTTTCTGTGAAGATTTTCCTGTGTACATTCTAGGTTAAATCATCGCTATGGTGATGATATTTTATTACCTAAAATAAAGTCCCACGCGTTCTATCTTGTCCGGGCTGAAGTAGGTCGCGAGTGGATTCGCAGATATAGTTTATAGGAACAAAATTATGACAAGAAGCGGGGAGTGCGAGCGATACCTAGAAATGCGAATACGCGTAATGTGCGGCTACAATTAGGTAAATACTCGATTATCGTTATTATCGACTATGATTATTTTATTTTATATTTGTTATGGTTTATTGCATTGCTCCTTTTTTATTGGTGTGTAAATGTAACTTGTCGTTTTAATACAGTAATTGATGATGTGCATTAAAGATTTTATTGATCACTACCAGGCTACTTCTAATTTGTTTTGTTGTTAATTGTGTATCATACATGATTGTAAGCAGTTATTTAAAAAAAAGTCCCGCTGGGTTTCTTGCTGGTTCTTCCCAGGACAGAGTTTTTTTTTCCGAACCAGTGATAATTAAACATAAGAGTGACTTTTAATAAGTATTATTTATAATCTAATTTAAATAAAAAAGTTTCTGTTTCTATTGAAAAATTTAAAGTAATGTTATTTTGGGGATACTGAAAGAAATGTTACCCTCGCCGATATCATGTATTCAAACTTTTTATCGTAATTCTTTAAAACATACTATTGTTTAATTTTTATACAAATAGATATTTTCACAATAAACATGATATTCAATTTATTCTATAATCGACGGACATAACAAACTGTTTCCCTATGCAATCTTTCGGAGCGTATATGGAGTAGCACATCTCTAACGATGCCTTGCCAGATCGTCTAATATATACATGCGCTAATGTCTCGGAACCAACTTCAGCCCGGCCAGGATAGAATGCGCGGCCTTTACTCACCCTTCCACCGGAGATATGACCAGTTGCATGGTGAGACTAAAGCGGGATGAGCAATATAGGTGTGTTAGTGTTTCCAAGTTGCGCTGCATAAACAAATTGTCCAAGTCATATTTACCAGATGGCGCATTTTTGTAATGGTCTGTATTTGAGAGTTAAATTAAAAGTAAATTGTTACCTTTTTGAGTGAACTAAGAAGTATCACAGTCTCAATAGGCTATATTAAAATCTTCATATCCTATTTTTCCACCTTTGGGGGTGAAATTATTTCTGCTAATTTTTATAACACCACTCTTGTTGTATAAACTAATTAATAAAAGAAGGAATCATCAAAATTGGTTTACAATTAACAAAGACATAAAAGCAGTAGAATTGTAAACCTCCTCTTTTTTAAAAGTCGGCTAAAAAGATTTAATAGGTTACATTACGTGAGAGTATAGTCATTTAAACCTATTTAAAATATTTTACTGCTGAAAATGACATTTATTAAATATTGTATGACAGGCTTGGATGGACAATATGGAAGGTGACGGGGAACTTCCCCGGTGCGGCGGTTGCGGGCGAACGTTTGAAAGGCGCGCCGCACTCGCGGCTCACACCCACACCTGTCAGCCTCGCTCACGAGCACTTGCTCGCCGCGCCGACACTAAGAAAATTGAAATACAGATCCGAAAAGACTATCATAAAGGGCCACCTACTGCTATAAACATCCCAGTCAAAACTACTGATGATAATGGTATGTATCGTTAGAATCAATTTGACAGAAATTGTATTTATTAATATGTATTCAGTTAATTATTGCATTTAATATATTGTTTTAAAAATCGTTTTACATATTTGCAGCCAATAAACTTGTTGCTGAAGACGCCTCACCTTTACCAAAGGCATTAAAGGAATCGCAGAATGAAGTCGAAACGAATTCGCAGCCCTTGCTTAATAGCAATAACTATACAATTCCCACGCCTAATGAAAACGTAAACACGGAAAATAAAATATATAATAATGTAGAAAACTTTGTACCCAAATTGCCATTCGCGCAACAGGCCGAAAAAAGTAATTTAGCCGCGTTAAAAGTCAGAATTCAGCGAGATACTGATTTAGATGAACTTGTTTGTAGAAAATGTGATGTCAAACACAATGAGTTACAAGATTTGTATGATCATATGGCTGGCCATTATAACTGGATACGATATGCTTGTAAATTATGCAATTTTAAACATTACAACTTTGAGAAATTACCGGAACATGTAAAAGTAGTCCATAAGTTGAGGGGTGATTCAGATTTTTTTTGTACTACCATTAAAGCGGTTGATGGAACTGAAGCCTTAGAGCTATGCGAACAAGCTGATGATGCAAATGAGAATAGCCCTGATTCAAGACGTCCTAGTAGATGTTCTAGTGACTCTAGTCGTTTGTCGGATGATAGTTCATCAAGTAGTACGCGTGTTGAAGTAGGAGCAAAGAAACGTAAAATGAATACCAGTAGAACCATTGCTAAGAAAAAGAAAGAAGCTGTTGTTGTAAACGGTAAAATCAAACGATTTCGAAATATAATTCTTATAAATCGAATCGAAATAAATTATAATTTTAAATTTATTACTTATATGCTTTTTTGTTCCAGATGAAAATGAAGATCAGAAATGTAACGAAGTATATAAAGATAAAGATAACGTCAATGAAAATGAACTACCTTCAAATGCTAAAGTTTTTGAAGAAAATTCGTCAGATGTGGATGAAATAGATGACAAAGTAGCAAAAAAACATATAATTGAAGAAAATAAATCAATGTCTAACCGTAGACCAATCCGAAAAAGGACTAGACCTAAAAATGAAGACTTCGAATATGACTTATCCAATTTGCTAAAGATGGAAGCGCAAGGTTATAGAGATTCACAGTCAGCGACTAATACAAAGTCTTATCAAAGCAAAAAGAAAGTTCCAGTAGAAATTCAAAATAGTTACGAAATTGCAAACAAAGATTGTTGTGGAGCACTGGCTACATTATCTAAAAAAGCCGTCGAAAATTCCGTAGCGCATATGAAAGTTTTAAGTTTTTGCGAAGCTGTAGCATCAAAGGAGCAACGCGCAACAAATATTTTTGTTCGACCATTGCTACCGAAAGTTTTAAAAGCAGATAAAATATCGCCTAAAAAGGAAGTCAGTGAAGACATGAAAGAAACAACAATTTCAAATAAAAAGTCGACTGAATCCAAGATAAGCCCAAATAAAAATGCAAAAACTGATGAAACATTACCCGATCCATCCCCTAAGCCTATTGATGATGCACCAAAAACTGTTTTAAGTGAAGATAAAAATAAACAAATGCCTGCCAATACTACATGCGAAACAATTAAAACCAATGTTAATATTCCAGCAGTCGTTCCTTTTAAATTTCGCCGTCAAAGCTTAGAAGTTATGAAGAATCCACTTATAAATAAAAACATAAAAGATTTAAGTAAAGCCGGAATGAAAACAAAAATTCTTGTTATTAAGCCTATCAACAGGAACAAGGATGGCATACAAACTATTAAAACTCCGTTAAAATTTCAAACAATTAAACTGAAAGATCCAAATAGGGGCAATTCCTCAAATGATGAGAAACCTTCTGATCATGTTGTTGTTGTACAAGTACCTAAAGTAGAATGCTCAATAGCACACCCTTCACCAAAATTATGTAATACAAATGACGCGGAAAAACTAGATAACTCTAAGAGAGACCCAATGGATGATAGTGGTAACAAAAATAATGAAAAAAATAGTGAAATGCCTGTAGAAATTAACAAAATTTCCAGCTCTGAGGAATGTAATAATGTAACTGAACCTGTAAGTCATAATCCAGAATGTATTAGTTGTGATAAGGAACCGTCTGTTGATACAGAAAGTTCTGTAAATTAGCAATTTCACCAGTTCATGTATTATATGTTGCTTTTATATGCAATATAAACAATATTTTGTTTTACCGGAGTATTTAGTTACAATGTACAGCTTTACTACATAGATAGGTAGATAGAAATAATAATAAAATAATTGAGCCATTACACTTTTTTTTTAATGAAATATACCTATAGACAGAATAAGAGTCGCGGAGGATAGGGCGAGTGGCGCATCGCCATATCAACACTCCTCTTCCTCCGCGACTCCACCTCGGCTGCAGCGGTAGAGGGAGAGGACAGCCCTCTCACCGCAGCCCACCGACACACATCCAAAGTGGGCTCGCCAATAATGTTATGTTATCTATGATACTACGTATTATAGATAACATAACATTAACATAAACTCTAGCGCCTGTCTTTAATATATCGCCAATTTGGTCGATCTATGGTCGATACACTCCTCTCTAAGGCGTGCTTTGCCAACTCTACCACTTCCTTCTGCAGCATAAATACATTTTGGCACTTTTATAATTTGTGTCCATATTACCGAAATATTCCTTCGTTAATTCTGGTCATAACATCTTGCAAACCACATTTTCCTATTATCACACAATTTCAGTGCCAGCCCTTACATACTTTTTAATCATCATGCTTCTACCAAACCCAACTTTCACTACTATGTACCATACATTAAGTTAGGGACTAATACAACATTGTGAATGACTATCTACCATCCATGGGCATCCGCAACTTTTTCTGTCAGACACCTAAAACTGAGGTGAAATATTTAACAGATTTCATAGCGGGGGAAGTTTGAATTTGTTAGAAAAGTGTAGTGATCAATGTTTTTTTTTCAGAAATATGAATTAGATTAGAAATGGAAAACCAAACTACAGATATTCTTAAAAGTAAATTAAAAAAAGTTAAAAATGTGTAAAAAAAAATTAAGAATACAGGACTGAGGCATTGTATATAATAATACACTAGAAACCAAAAAAAAACTCATAATTATATAGCATCTTTTCAATGACACTGTGTGTTCACTGCGTTAGTCTCAACTAGCGACATCTGGTGAACGTAAGGTTATTAACCCTCATTCCCATACGTGCCTTTTTAGAGACACATTCTGACTTCTCACAAGTAGAGTGAATAGAGCCATTTATAACCTGCATTCTCTCTTCTTTCTATATACTGGTCAAGTCTACCTTCCTAAATACATAAACTCATCCAATTGCTGAACCAACTTCCCTTCTATTCTTATGCATATTGTGTTACCTTCTATTTCAAAAACCGTCACTTTCTATTTCAACAACGCAAGTGCGTTCACTTTCATTCCCCCCCATAAGGAACGTACGTAATATACGTTCATTAATTAAAGTAACTATCATTTGTAACTCGCTCGCCGACGACGCGAAATGTGGTTTGGACTACGTAATATTTCTCTGGAACACGAGTATCGAAACAAACTTGTGCCTGAAGCCCTGAAGTAGTCTTTAATAAACAAAATCTTGGATTGGGAATGACTCTAGTCCAGTTTAAAATTCAGAAGATACAGGTTTGCGCGGTTACCGCCAAAAAGAAACCCCTTTCTCGTAGGTATCTCCTCAATTTCAGGGCACTCCCCAAGCTGCCTCAGCCAGCATCGGAATCCTCGTTATCGACATATCTAATGACGTACAGATCCGCGGTCATTTGGAAGGGAAGGCTAAATTGGCGTCCAAGAAGCTTGGCATGCAGAGTGGGATAGTGTTTCATGCCGGCACACCGTTTACAACATTACAAAGCGCAAGTACGCTATCACATGGTGCCAGCTCCTTCCACTTGACTGCACTCAGCGAAGAGTGATTCAAATCGCCGACGACCGAGTTCTTTCTGATCGGCTCACGGGTGCTACAAAGAGATTTGCATCCCATTACTTAGACAAATTGTTCGGATTAATTCCAACCGCCGAATTCTTCCAACGCACATCGGGTTCAAAACTCACGGTACCGTCCACACCATTTGGATGCTTGGGGGTCCACCATGACTGTGCGATTTACTAGGAGTTGTCTTCCTCGCAAGACCTCTTTGTGGAATCATCTACCACCGGCGATTTATTCCGGCGACTTAGAGACCTTCAAGAAAACGAGCTTACTGCTTTTGAAAAGGCCGGCGACGCACCAGCAATTTCTCTGGTATTGCAGTTGTTCATGGGTGATGGTCGACACTTACTATCAGGAAAATTTGATTTAATTTGGGCGAAACCACGGGGTGGAAATCTAGTAAATATATTCGTGTGCTGGGCTGGCACAGACAGAACTGGCCGGTAGGAGAGCGCATATTCATGGTTGTCTTTTTTTTACATGGGGAAATGTCTACGCATACCCGCCTCGCGGGGGCAAGGACGGGTTATGTCGGGCTCGCACCGACTAAAACCCCATGGTGTGCCACCTTCGCCGCATATTGGCAGGGCTACGGGAACGCTTTCGCACACATCCGCAGCATCACCAGCGCAGGCCGCCCCATTGCAGCCCTTCTCGGGGAGGACCTCTCCTCCCCATTTTCCTTCTCAGGCAAGGCACGCCTCTCTCCACGGCCTCCAACTCCACCTGCGTATCGGACCCCCCCCCCCCCCCACCCCGAGTCCGATACGCGGAGGCCATGGGGCCAGGAAAATCGAGCGGTTAGTAGCACCCGCTTTCCCGACCCCAGCGGCGGATCTGGTCTCTGGCTTTCTGAGGAGTATAGGTTGCAGTACGTAGTGAGACAGTTGACGTCTCCCAATCTTTTTAACCTATACATCATTCGTCATTCGTTATACATACATCATTCGATGTTGAGTAGATAACGTTTGTATAGACAACATAAATTGTCACTCGCAAAAATGTAGTTTGCGAAATGTATAACAAATATAGGGGTCGAAAATGGCCTGACCTCCTTCGAGAAAAGGATGGTACGGCCGTGTCACTTTTTTGCTCGACTTGGCGGGGGTACTGCCGTGCTACAACAGCTACAAATTCATCCGCATGGACTTTGTTCGCGACGGTTTAAAGACTTTAAGCGAAAAGTGATTAAAGAATATTAAATTATTTTAAAAAGTGAAATTAGCAAATAAATCGAGCAAATTGTGTTTTAATATAGTTTAACAGTATGTTTACAACTCGTAATATATTTGTATAAAGTATCGTTTTAATAATAAGTTGATATAAACGACTTTAAACATTAAATAAAATTTCGACCAATCACAGCGCAGCATATCGTGGAACTTTCTAGAAGTTAATTAACTGCGCAATAGTTTATATGAAAATAATGAGAATATTTTTATGTTCTGAAAGAATTGTAAATACGATATTTAGTTAGCATATGGTATATAGATTGAAATAAGTAAATAGATAATTTATGTAAATAAACGCATTTGAGAAATATAGTAAAATTAAAGATTTAATGTGCACTTTTGTTATGTAAATTAGGTACATTTTGATTAATAACTTTTTTGAATGTAAATATATCAAGTAACCCTTATCATATAATGATAAAGGACCAAAATGCCTCTTTTATAGTATATAGCGTGTTAATGTAAAAATTAGCATTATATAGAAAAATTGCGATTTGTGCAAATTACGTAATGAAAATGTTTGATAATAAAAAGGCAAAACCGGAAATTGGCAAGCGGCTCTCTATAGAGTATAGCCGAAGTCTACCTTATGGGGGCAAATCACAGTAACATTGTAGTAGGAAGAACTACCAGTAACAAGCAGTAGTATCCGGTAGTAGCTGAAGTGACTAGTAGCAGAACACAGTGAAAAGTTAAAGTGAAATAGAAAAAGTTTAGCTAGCCGAAAAAGGTCGTAACTGAAAAATCGCAGTTACACATAGTCGGAAAAAGTGGCAACTGAAAATTCTCAGTTGCATATAGTAAAATAGTGTCAGCTAGCCAAAAATAGTGGTAACTGATATTCGCAGTTACATATAGTGAAAAAGTGTTGGCTAGCTGAAAAAAGTGGTAACGGAAATTTCGCCGTTACATATAGTGAAAAGTGTTAGCTAGACGGAAAAAGTGGTAACTGATATTCGCAGTTACAAAAGTGTTTAAATTCAACTAATCTTAGTTGATTAATAGCTGCTAGTCAGTAGTGTTAGAAAACCAGCTGCTACCAATAGAAATATTTGATACTACCAATAGAAATTTGTTACTCCCAATAGATATTCAAAATTACCAATAGAAATAGTAGAAAATACAAATAGAAACTTGTTACTGCCAATAGAAATTTGATATTACCAAGAGATATTTTGAAAATACGAATAGAAATTTTAAAAAACCAATAGAAATTTTAATATTACTGTGTGTTTAATTAAATCTGTGTTTTAAAATATATAGTGAACAACCATAGTTGAAAAACAGTGTTAAATAAATAAATAAGTTATAATATTTCGCAACTAATTAATCAGTCGAACCGCTGGCCACTCCCTTGCTATTTAATTTATAAATCGTGCATTTTTAATTCTGTACCTCAGTCCACAGTTCTCCAACAGCATACACAAAGGCGGTAGTGAAAGTATCCACCGGAACCTATAGGTGTAGGACGTGAGCGGCTCGCGGAGTATCTTCGACAACATTTACTCCGGAGAGTTAAGCCCGTCCGGCACAGACTTATAGTGTTCAAGTTGGACCACCACCATGAAAATAAAGAGCTTTTTGCTTTTATACAACGAAAGTAACCAAAAAATATGTTAAATTCAAATTTTGTTTATTTGTAGTAGTGGTAAGAATATACGTATTCTGATACCGATTCAAGTCCTTAAATAGACACTTGACTTACTCGGTGTCGGTATATATAAAGGTACCTACTCTTTGGGGGGACGTATTGTGTATTATCACAGAATACATAAGTATAAGGAATTAGGAAAGCACAATGAGCAGACGAAGGAGGAGGGGATGCGATGAAAGTGGAACACTAATAACAACAATAGCTTCTTCGATACACTCTGTCATATAGCACCGTCTATAGAAGCAATTATGAGAAAATTCTTTTAAACTTTTTA